TCCTCTCTTGGATATCCCATTGTGGTCAATGCTGTTAATAACTAAAATCAACCACGTATCAAGCTCACATTTACAGGATCAATTAAATCCTCTCTTGGATATCCCATTGTGGTCAATGCTGTTAATAACTAAAATCAACCACGTATCAAGCTCACATTTATGGGCTGACACAGTGCATATTAATATCAAGGATTGTAGATTAGCGCTTTTTCACACAACAGTTTTTATCTCTGATCCTCATCTTTACTTCTAAAAACCGGTTCTCAACCACATGTTGTAATCTAGATGTCCAGTACCCGGATGTGACGGATCCGGTCATTCAACAGGGAAATTTCTCTCACATAGAAGGTGAAGTATTTAATCATCCTATTAATAGTAATAAATCAAATCTTAAAGGGACTGAAAGCGTACTTTCAAGTGACCCTCCATGCAAAGATGACAATGCCTGATTCAAAACGTTTACATCATGGCAATTAATTTATGTTTTTCTTTTGTATAGAAATGCGCAAGTCACTTTGTAGAGAAACTACAATTAAAAATAATTAGTTTTTGATATTTTAAACAGTAATATCCGATTCATACTTGATCAGACAAAGCTTTTAAAGGTTGTGAATCTGATATTGCCACCTTTTCATAGAGAGTAACATGAAATTACGCTTGCAGGCCCTGTAGGGAAATAAAAATGTCACTTTATAAAATAATCTTCCATTTTACTTAAATTAATTGATGAATACTTTTAGTGCATCTGGATGCCCCCACGCGAACAGGAATAAGACAAGAAGCATGGAGACATCCTTGAGTATGGGACAGGGTCTGCTCAAGTATGGAGGATTGATTAAAGCTGGGATACCAACATCAATTCCTTACTCGACACATACAAGTTAGTACTTGCATTCAGATAATAATAATAATATATGTTTCGGACAAACTAGATACAATATTACAGATATATATGTTTAATTTTGATTATTATCACATAATTTATGCTTGTCATTGGTTTAAATGTTCGTGGACTAAATTTTACCCATTTTTTTGGGATTAATTGTTGAACATATGCAGATAAATTTCTGAACAAGTTAAGACATGGCAATTTCGAAAAAGAATGCTTGATGTAAATACTTAAGAAAACTTTTTTTTAACAATTGCTTCCTTGGCCATTCTATGCGGAAACTTTTTTAAATGTGGCGAATTTTCGCCCAAAGAAAAAATTTTAAATATGTTGTTAGATTATAGAAAAAAGTAAATTTTCAAATATTCAATAATTAGTATTTCTTGTGGTTTAATTCTGAAGAAAATCAAAAGCTATCTCTGAAACTACAAAATAAAGTCTTAAAATGATTCTGAAAGTAAAATGTCCAAACATATTAAGAGTGGCGCGCAACTCCCTGAATTTCCACATACCGTTCTCTTATCCCTACGATGGAGTTATATAACTGAAAGCTATAAATAAGGTTGAGGGCGGAGAGATCCTTTATATTTTGGATGTTTATCCTGATTTAGGAGAACCCTGCCTACTCCGGTACTAACAATCAGTACAGGAAATTAAATATATATAATTCAGTGCACATCAATCTTAACAAAACTGTGTTGGATTGAAATCAAATTGAAAACTAGAAACCTTCTCCGTATCTCTCTCTGTTTCCTTTGCTATACCCCCTTCCTCCCCCTGGAGAATTCAAAACTTAGATTTAATTGTGTGACAGGAGGATTGTACCCACCCCCCTTCTTCGTCTTCCCTTGACTTGATAAGATGCAAGATTCAAAGGAATTGTGTCTTTGTAACAAACTCTTATTTGCTAATACCTATATTTTTCCACCTGATGGTGTAAACCTTTGATATTTCAAACTTAGATTTTTTCATCTAAAAGAAAGTAATAGTTTGTGACAAAGACTCAATTCCTGTGCAAAAATAATTTATATTTTATTTTTATTGTCATTAATTTTTGACGAAGAAGATACACAAAAAAAAATATCGTTTATCGGTCCAATGGTATGACAACGTCACTAATTTATCAGAATTGTTATACATGTAAGTAACATGTACCAATTAGGAAAAAATAAGAAAATCTTACAACAGAACTTTTGAAATGAATTGAGTTTTTGCCTCAAACTCAAGTTTTATAATCCCTATATCTGTGCAACCTGATTGTGTAAACCTTGATAATTCAAACTTAGACTGTATGATTTGACAGAGTTCAAGGTTTGAAATATCAAACGTCTACATTATTGGGTTGCAAAGATTATAAAATCAGAGTTTATGATCAGAGCTCAGTTGCTTTAAATCCCATTCAAAAAAAAGAAAAAAAAGTTGATAAAAAAACAATGTTTTTAAATTTTTCTTTACATTTTTTGATTCGCTATAGGTTAAAGGGTTCATCCTCAATGTAACAGACTTATGTTTTAAGAGATTTAGGTCGCCCTTACAGTTAAAATTTGTTGTATATAACCCTATATCTTAGAAAATGCCACTTTTTAAAAGCAAATAACATTCAGAGATTTCAAACTAATAAATTGCATTGCCGCGGGAGTAATCTCCGATAATGACCTCCGTATATTTAGATTTAAAGACCTCTAACCTCCTAATATTTAGGCTTAGAGACCTCTAACTTCCGAATATTTAGGTTTGGAGACCTCTTACCTCCGAATATTTAGGTTTGGAGACCTCTTACCTCCGAATATTTAGGTTTGGAGACCTCTTACCTCCGAATATTTAGGTTTGGAGACCTCTTACCTCCGAATATTTAGGTTTGGAGACCTCTTAACCTCCGAATATTTAGGTTTGGAGACCTCTTAACCTCCGAATATTTAGGTTTGGAGACCTCTTAACCTCCGAATATTTAGGTTTGAAGACCTCTTAACCTCCGAATATTTAGGTTTGGAGACCTCTTAACCTCCGAATATTTAGGTTCGGAGACCTCTTAACCTCCGAATATTTAGGTTTGGAGACCTCTAACCTCCGAATATTTAGGTTTGGAAACCTCTGAGATGATGAGCCTGGAGGACGAGATCTCACATCTCCAGAAGGAAAATTATAGAATAGAAGCTCAGCTTGGGAGGATGAAAGGGGAGATACCCGGCCTGCTGGTCGGGGATCCAGGGGCCGGGGGACAGGATAAGGTAGGGTCCTGGGTCAACCTAGTTGACCTCGACAGTAGCTTACACAGATAAATTCACGCCGGTCAACGTTCATCTAAGTTTTTGAACTTTTGACCTTTAGGGGGCATAAATATATTTAAATTAAAAACTTAAAATATTAGTTGCAAATTGCCATTAAAATTTTTTTTAAGTAGATATTGTCCATAAGCAAAGAATTTACATTTAACGCCTAAACTCGAAATAAAAACGAGCTTTTAACATTTTTCAACTTTGCACTCTTTTGGATCCTATACGTGTGAGTTTTGCATTAAATATGAAAACATGAACATCTCCGTGAAGTCTCAATTATCTGCATGTGTAAAAATTGCATCAATTATTACAAATAAATTATTTGTTATAAAAGATAAAATCCAAGAGTTCTATTCTATTTTTCTCCCCCTAGGACCCTGAGCTGAGACGGAAGAGTTCCAAGATATCAGATTATTATGAAAACTTGAGAACAAATGTTTTCAACATCTTTGGCACTCAGACATACGCAGACTCATACTTAGGTAAAGACGACATGCATGCACATTGCAAAGGTCTAAAATCCACCAAATATAGTTGAAAAATGTCAAATCATAAAATCGCCAATTTTAAGACTGTAATAGTTAGATTGCAATCGTATTAATTAATAATTGTTAATTCTTTAAATTGTAAAAATATTAATAATTATAGTGTAGACATATCCAGGCAAGGGTAATTACATTTTTTCACATTTTTTCCAAAGTTTAACTTTCTTTTGACTGTATTTTGTTTATTTTACAAAAAAAAATAAAAAAAATTTAGTCTAATAAATCTTTAAAATTTGTTTAGGAAGTAAGCATCCCCTGCGAAGTGTAGGGGAGGAGGGGGAGAAGTACGACAACTACCTGACCAAGCTCCAGAACATATGTACGGAGAATGTCGGCGAGGAGGGGAAACCTGTTTACGATGCTGTTAAAACTTCAATCCATGGTATGCCAGTGCTACCAACCCCAACCCTCAGCTAACTTATTACATTCATCCCTTACTGCAGTCAACTTGACATAAAGCGTCAAGAATAATTCAACCCAAACTCTGAATTACAGCACAAGTACTAAATCCGAACCCAAACTCAAAAAACTAATCTTTTAGAGAACCCCAATCTCTGAATGCAAACTCCAAATTCAATATCCATCCCATTTTTTTTACTCACAACATTCCATAATCTAATGAAGGCTTTAAATGATAAAACCTGAGAAGAAAGACTAAAAAATTCAAGTTTTTAACTTGTTTTTTAATTCCTAAAAATATCTGACGGCATAGTCCGAAAAATAAATTATCTTTCTGCTGGCACATAGTCCAGAAAATAAATTTTGATTTTTACGAAAGCAGGGTATTATTATCTACATATTATATTCATATTAATAAACATTATCAAAAATGTTTTTAGTCAAATTTATTTGAATTTTAACCTGAAACTTAAAACATTTTCTAGTCAAATCTAGCATTTAAAAATAGTGTACAATGTAAACAAAACCCCTTACTAATTGTTATTTTATTAATTGATTAAATTTATTTACACGTTTTTTAATCACCGTTTGATTGTAGATTATTGTTATTAATTAATCATCAGTTTGTTTTCCAAACCTAGAACATTTTATAAACACTTTATATCTCTGTTATTTTGAATGCTTATGTTGAATGTATTATAAACTAAAAGTTAAATGTAAACCTGTTAGAGCGATTATGTAAATGCTAGAAATAAACAATTCAACCCAAAACAATAAAGATTAAACTATATTGTCATCTAGGTATAAAAATAGTAATATCTGTTTGTCTGTCTGTCTCTCTGTATGTACGACCATGATTCGTGAACCCCTGACTGCTATGTCTAAATATTTGATTTGGAAAATCTGTAGAATCATGAAAAGGTTATTTGATTAGTTTAGTTGTCTTTTGTTTCTAGCCTAGTTTATTAAAATGGTGAATATTTTTTATAACAGATGATTTCAACTTGGTGAGTAAGTGTCCAAAAGAGAGATTACAGATTCAAAAGGGAAGCGAAAAGAGAAAATCAAAAAAACAATGATAACGACAAGTCTATCTGAGAAAAACAAAGTCTATCAGAGAAAAAAAGTCTACTAGAGAAAAACAAAGTTTATCAGAAAAAAAAACAAAGTCTATCAGAGAAAAACAAAGTCTAACAGAGAAAAACAAAGTTTATCAGAAAAAAAACAAAGTCTATCAGAGAAAAACAAAGTCTAACAGAGAAAAAAAAAGTCTATCAGAGAAAAACAAGTCTAACAGAGAAAAAAAAAGTCTATCAGAGAAAAACAAAGGCCTATCAGAAAAAAAAACAAAGTCTATCAGAGAAAAACAAAGTCTAACAGAGAAAAAAAAAGTCTATCAGAGAAAAACAAAGTCTAACAGAGAAAAAAAAAGTCTATCAGAGAAAAACAAAGGCCTATCAGAGAAAAACAAAGTCTATCAGCGAAAATTAAAGTCTAACAGAGAAAAAAAAAATCTATCAGAGAAAAACAAAGTCTAACAGAGAAAAACAAAGTCTATCAGAGAAAATTAAAGTCTAACAGAGAAAAAAAGTCTATCAGAGAAAAACAAAGTCTATCAGAGAAAATTTAAGTCTATCAGAGAAAAACAAAGTCTATCAGAGAAAAGAAAGTCTATCAGAGAAAAAAAAGTTTATCAGAGAAAAACGAAGTCTAACAGAGAAAAACAAAGTCTAACACAGAAAAACAAAGTTTATCAGAGAAAAACAAAGTCTATCGGAGAAAACAAAGGTTATCAGAGAAAATCAAAGTCTAATAAAACAAAACAAAGTTTATCAGAGAAAAACAAAGTCTAACGGAGAAAAACAAAGTTTATCAGTGAAAAACAAAGTTTATCAGAGAAAAACAAAGTCTATCAGATAAAAACAAAGTTTATCAGAGAAAAACAAAGTCTATCAGATAAAAACAAAGTCTATCAGAGAAAAACAAAGTCTATCAGAGAAAAGAAAGTCTATCAGAGAAAACAAAGTCTATCAGAGAAAAGAAAGTCTATCACAGAAAAACAAAGTCTATCAGAGAAAAACAAAGTCTATCACAGAAAAACAAAGTCTATCAGAGAAAAACAAAGTCTAACAGAGAAAAACAAAGTCTATCAGAGAAAAACAAAGTCTATCAGAGAAAAAACAAAGTCTATCAGATAAAAACAAAGTCTAACAGAGAAAAAAAAAGTCTATCAGAGAAAAACAAAGGCCTATTAGAGCAAAACAAAGTCTATCAGAGAAAAACACAAAGTCTATCAGAGAAAAACAAAGTATATTGGAGAAAAACAAAGTCTATCAGAGAAAAACAAAGTCTGCCAGAGAAATCATTTTCAATTGCATCAAATGATATCACCAGTATTTAGTATTCAATTGATTTGAGATTTTGATTTAATGGACATAGTTATATATATATATTATGTAGAGAGATTTATAGAATTTTTATTATTTTGATTGCGTATAAACAGAAACGGACGAAACAAAATAACTCAGTTCTTGCCACAAATTCTGATTTTTTAATCCTTTAATCTATGCAACTCAATGTTGTAGACCTTTGATATTTCAAACTTTAAATGTTGTTAGATCAAATTTTAAAATATCAAAGGTTTTCAACATTAGGTTGCAAAGATAAAGGGATTCAAAAAATTAAGGCAAGAACTCAGTTCATTTCAATAATTGTTTTTTTGAATAAAAAAGCTTATCTTTAAAAAACTGAATCTCAACAGTGAGTTTACTATTTGTGGTTTATGTTATTAAAAATGTAAGTCTTCTTAGTCTTTTACGGAATTGAGTGTTTCCCACAAACTCAGATTTTCTAATCCCTATTTTTTTCAACATGATGGTGTAAACCATTGATATATTGAACTTAGAATATTTTATCTAACAGAATTCATAGTTTAAAATTTCTTATGTCTACGACATTGGGTTGCAAAAATATAGAGTTTAGGATATCAGAGTTTGTTGTAAAACTCAATTCTTTTAAAAATTTTCCTTCCTCATTTTTTTTGAAAATGAGAAGAATATTTGGCATTTCATGTGGACCTCACTGACTAGAAGAATAATAATCACTACATTTCGTCCTAAATTAGATCCGCCTAGCCTAGTTTATTGACAAGAATATGATCAGAACAGAGCATAGATACAGGGTGTTTCTGAAAAGTGCATTTAGGCTTTTTAGTATGCAATACATCTCCATAATCTCCATAAAAGGGGTCGTAGATGAAATATTGTTTCTCTAAAATGCAGTTTAACCTGCAAAAAGAGCCCTAAAATTCAAAAATGAAAGAAATAAAGATATAAATTGCGTGTGAACCCACTAAACGAGTAATAAGTGTTACTAGCACGTACAATGCTCTCATAAATTGGGGGGGGGGGGGTCGTCGTTTTTAACCTTCAAAATGTACTCGGTTAGGCCAGAATCTCCTTATAATAAACAAATATGCTGTACGCTCTCGCTATAGTTGATGGCCTATAAAATTAGTAAAGGATTAGTGTACATCATTACTCTATACACTATAACCTCGTTGAATCGGTCCCATTTTCTAAGATTAAATTTTTTTTTGAAATTCACTGGAAAAGAGATCGCGCACATTTTTGAATATCAGGCCTACTTTTGAAGGTTCAAACGGCATTTAAACAAAAAAGATTGACGACCCTCTCTCCCCCCCCCCCCATTTAAAGGAATTGCACCTACTATGAGCACTTTTAACACAATACAACGATGTTTAGTTTAGGCTAAAAAGCCTAAACGCAGACACACCCTGCACATTTTTGTCATTGGAAAATCCAAGTCATCTATAAATCCATCAATCTGAGCTTGAAGTGGATGGACGTGATTAATTCCCCATTCATAGAACTCTTAGAACTTTTAATCCTCTCCCTTCTTTAATTCTTTCTCCTCCCTCCTCCACCCCACATAAATATACAATTCTCAATATATCATTAGTTTCATTAGAATACTATTCAGAAATATTCAAATATAACTTCAATGTGGTTAAAAAAGAATTCAAACATTATTTTTTACAATATTCTGGCGATATAAAATAGAATAGATGTGAAGGTCCAAAAGTTACTGTGCCGCAATAAATTCGAATTATAAATATAACTGAAACAATGGCGAATAGTTCCATTTCCTTCAATTTACTCACGACTTAATCGCCAATCTGTTGCGACGGGGTTCTCTAGTAAAATGTTAATTAAAGGGACTATGCTGGTAAATTTTAAATGAATTTCTTTAAAAAGATGGCTTTACCCGACTCCCGAGGGTACCGTTTAAATCTTTATCTGAGCAATAATGAAGAAGATATTGACGTTTTTTATATTAAAAAGAAACCACAATTGAAAACAATAATATAAAGAATAACAAGCGTACTGTTGTGTATCTGTACCTACTCTTCTGTTTGTATAATATCTCTGTGATATCTGTACTTGCTCCGTCTGTTTGTATAATATCTCTCTGATGTCTGTACCTGCTCCGTCTGTTTGTATAATATCTTTCTGATGTCTGTACCTGCTCCGTCTGTTTGTATAATATCTTTCTGATGTCTGTACCTGCTCCGTCTGTTTGTATAATATCTTTCTGATGTCTGTACCTGCTCCGTCTGTTTGTATAATATCTTTCTGATGTCTGTACCTGCTCCGTCTGTTTGTATAATATCTTTCTGATGTCTGTACCTGCTCCGTCTGTTTGTATNATTGCCACCCCTAATTGTGCGCCTGTTATTCTGTAAACAAACAAATTGAAACTGTTACTGAAGTACTTAAAAAAAACACAACCTGGATGGGTAGTTAACAAATGATAAACAAATAAACTGAAAAAAACGATGCGCACACATCTTTAATTGCGACTTCTTTTTTTAAATTATGTTAACTATTAAAACATTATAAATTAAACAATACAGTAAATTTATTTTTAGACTCACCTAAAGTTGAAAGCAATGGTGTTACATTTTTCTTCAAACTTGGTTTTTTCCCCTGACTAATATCTCCTTCTTTAAAATGGTTTGAGCAAATACAACTTGAAGGATATATGATGGAGTCTCCCAACCTTAGCAGGTCTAGCCATGCACAATGTTTTAACATAAACATAAACAAACAACTAAACTGGAATGTATTGCAGTATACAATCCATATTAAGTGTTTATCTAATTATCAATTATCTACATTTTACCACCCAAAAGAAATACGATCACACTCTATTCAAGTGTACAGCGTTAGATACGTAAACATATCGTGATGTATACAACCGACCACTCTATTAATTAATTAATAGGGAGGTCGGTTGTGTACATCTGAGGTTAGCTTTACCTTTTCGTTTTATTACTCTATGGCTTGTATAATACTCTGTGATGTCTGTGCCTGCTCCGTCATGTTTGTATAATACTTTGTGATGTCTGTGTCTGCTCCGTCATGTTTGTATAATACTTTGTGATGTCTGTGCCTGCTCCGTCATGTTTGTATAATACTTTGTGATGTCTGTGCCTGCTCCGTCTGTTTGTATAATACTCTGTGATGTCTGTGCCTGCCTCCGTCTGTTTGTATAATATCTCTCTGATGTCTGTGCCTGCTCCGTCTGTTTGTATAATATCTCTCTGATGTCTGTGCCTGCTCCGTCTGTTTGTATAGAATAATCCCTCAAGGTCCAATCAGGTTATATTCATAAACTTTATCAATTACAACTTTTTTATTTCTTAATAAAGATAATGGTGATAATGATAGTTATTATC